AATATTCCAATATGCTACCAATTAAACATGGAACAATTTAAATAAACAACAACAAAATAATGCTTAATAACAAAGTTGAAATTCGATCTTCAACTGTTAATATCTTCTAGAAATTTTCTATATTTTTCTCATACTCCCCAAGGAAGCCTCTATCACCCCTGAAAAGCAATGACGCCAATTTTGAATCACCCTGTATGTTCTAGTAAAGAAATGGCTATTAAAACTCTGAATTAACACACATAGGTAAACATTCATAGAACGACCGTATATGGGCAATATCATCAAATCAAAACCAAGATGGGCTTCACACTTTGAAAGTTCAGTCACGATAACAGACAGAATTGCAAGTAAGAATCTGGAAGCAAAAGAAACGGGCTTGAAAATTAAACACTGATTTTTTCCAAAAAAATAAAGATTGCTGTCGGATGGATGGACGAAACGTACGTTCTTTGTGACTTCTCTCAGCTTCCGGGTCAATAATTTTACGTAGGACGTGAGCGCGGAGGTGTGAATGAAGAGTTCAGGTCTAGAAAAAAGTCAAAGTTTCTCGTGGGGCGACCCTTGTGTAGCTATGTGAGGAGCTACAAATCTTTTATAACGAATGAGACGATAAATACCGAAACACGTAATAGTGTCTCCAAAAAAGATTGTTGCAATTCATGAAACAACATAACGTCTTAACTTTATTTGCCCAAACTTGGCTTCCTGTGACTACAGTCAGAGAGCTGTAGAATCGTGCCAAATGAATTTTTCGTCCCAAAAGTCGTTTTTTGACCTAGGGAAGCCAACCCACCAAATTGCCCAGAGCTTCGCCCAATCGAACGATATTAGGCCTAGGTAAAAAGCGCTTTGAAAGAAACAAAAAAAGAAGCTAAAACCCCATCAGAGTTCAAAGTCAAGAGGAATTCTGCCCCCAGAAAAATCAACAAAGCTACCATAAAGTCGATCATGGAAAGGATCCAGAAAAAAATCGAAAATTTCAAGTCAGTTGAGCTTCATGTTTTTAAAAATTACTCGTAATAAAATAATCTTTAAAATGCTCTTTGTTTCATTAACATTTTGTCAAGAGTTCTTCAGTTATTTAGGGTTTGTGTGTAGCAATTTTTCCTGACTCAGTCCTTACTTAAGGGTAAGTATCAGGGGCCAAAACCCATACACTACTATTTGATTATTAAATATTGCTACGCATGGTGTATCTAAAATACATGAAGCCACATAAAATAGTATAAGTTTCTTGAGAATTTTGTAAAGGCAGTTCGAGTGTAGAAAAGATGCGTGTCGTTACTTGAGAAAGGCTAATGGAATAAATTTCTTGAAGTAAATATGGCAATTATATTATTATTAAGCAATTATATTGCCATTGCCTTGCATGCTAATTGCTTTACGATTGTCAAGGCGTGTAACGTACAATACGTTCAAATGGAAATTTAATTACAATTTTGTTAGAGGCATGGGAAATTCAGTGAAAGGGTTTTACGAATTAAATTGGAACATAGCCTAAGTTTTCAATTGAGAATTGGTTGATAGCATTTGCACCAAATAAGGTGTTGATCACTTAGAAACTAATAACGTTAATTGTGCCTAATCGTTTTAAAATGCGATGAATGTTGTTAATTAGTTTACGTAAATGTCGAACGTCTTCGTGATGAAATAGATAACGCTTGACATTAAAAACCATGTGTTTCGCTATGTGTACAAAATTTGCGGTGTGAATGCTGCACTAAAGGTCCAATCGTCGGTCATTTTTGGAAAATACTATTGTTTTAATGCAGTCTCAAGCTCGCTATCAGAATAGACATTATGAATCGATCAGCGACTCATACGTAACCAGTTTACGTGTAGATAATGATTGCATTCAAAAGGTTTCTACATAGGTACTCAAAGTGTCACTGGCGTTTTCGACATTTGTTTTACTTATTCATACTTAGAACGGTCAGTCTGGAATGATTTTTTTCACGTCGGGCCCAGATTTATTTACCTTTAGGTCCAGAAAAATTAGTGTAACCCATCACTCTCTCTTCATTGACATGATCTCTTACGAATGAAAAGCGGATTGTTGCTGCATTCGAGGGATCAGATCGAAGACGAGGGATCAGATCGAAGACGAGGGATCAGAAGAAAGATTTGAGCTATGGAGACTTTGACGATCCACTGGAGGATCCTATTCACGATTTTTCTGACAGAAACGACGCTGAAGAAATGTGAAAGATGATGATATTCTGTCTTCTATAACTGTAAAACTACTTGTGCATCTACTCCCTCATTACTTTTAAGGCGATGGGAGTGATACCGTTGGAAGTTTACAGTTTTGTTGCTCTGGAAAAAGTAGCAAGGATATTTTCTCTCACCAATTTGCGAGATATTTGGGCTTGCTAAACCGATAAATATTTGATGAGATCGATGAGAACGACATTGACATTCGTCTATATTTACTGCTATATCATGTTTACATCGGTCATCAACCGATATAAACGAAATGAAGCACTTTATCGGCTTGGAGCAGCTGGATGGGGATAGTCAAACTTTCTGAAATCTGAAATTACTTGTCGACGAGTCCACTCTTTTCCTTTCAAGTTCCACACCAAAAGATGTAATGTCTCGAAATATCTTCCAGATATTGTTAAGATTTTGGCACCTGGAGACCAGACAACATATTTCAGACCTTTGTTGCAAACATCAAAGATTTAGTAGAAATTTTTCATTTGAATATGACCGTAAAAACTGACTGAGAAATAACTGAAAGTCGTTCAGGTTCAAAATTATCACATCGTTCAGGTAATGAGAGTCCGTTCCATGCAATTCCAAGAGAAATAGTTGCTG